ACCTATAGCTTTCGCGTCAAGAACTTTATTAAAATCCGAAATGAATTATACTAATATTGAGCGTGAGGCTCTCGCTATTATGTTCGCTATAAAGAGGTTCCAGGAATACTTAATCGGCACGAAATTTACAATTATTACTGACCATAAACCTCTAGTTCACATCTTTATCAAGGGTCTTAAGAATAATAGTACCATGTCCTTAAGAATCCAGAAGTGAATACAACTTTAGGAGGATATGATTTTAATATAAAGTACAAAGCCGGTAAATATAATGTTGTTCCTGATTGTCTCTCGAGTTTACCACAAGTATGTCATGATGAAGCTAGCTGTTGAAAATATCACTATAATAAATGACTATGGGGATTTACCTATTAATTTTAATCAAAATGATGAAACTTTGAAAGATATTGAATTAAAACAAGTCATAAATGATATTAAGAACAACATGCCTATAATGATCAATATCTATAAAAACATTGAATTGAATTAAGTATAATTAAAGATTGTCTTTACAAAAGCAACAGAATCATAATTCCGTCTTCTATGAGAAAAAATGTACTACAGTCATTACATGAAGGTCACTTGGAAGCACGAAAAATCAAATCCTTAGCCAAAGATTAAATGTGGTGGTCTGGTATAAATAATGACAGAAATGGAAGTGAAAAGTTGTGACGATTGTAACGTATATCATGACAATTCCAAAAAGATACAAAAACCATGGGTTTCGGCAACCAAACCGTTTGAAAGGATACACATAGATTATGCGGGCCCGTTCTTTACAATAAATTGGTTGATAATAGTCGATGTCTACAGCAAATTTCCAATTATTGTTCCTGTTAAAAATATTACGACCGATGTTACTAAAAGAAATTATAAAACTATTTCGCTATATGGAATACCTGAAACTATAGTTACTGATAACGGTAATAACTTTACGAGTAACGATTTTGAAAAATTTTGCAATAATTATGGTATAAAACATGTGCTCACATCTGCCTATCACCAGCAATCCAATGGCCAGGTAGAACGCATGGTGAGAACGTTCAAAACACATATGAAAAGAAATATCAAAATTGACTTAAACATCGCACTTCACAAATTTTTATTTAATTACAGAAATACGCGTAATGATACTACAGGAGTTACACCATCTCAGAGAATGTTCAATCGAGATATTAGAATTAAATGGGACTTATTAAAACCGTTGGAGGAGGAGAACAAAATAAACGTTACTTTACCACGAAATAGAACCTTTAATGTAGGAGATTCTGTTTGGTACAAAGTACAAGGTGATGACAAATGGTGTAAATGCATGGTCACACATAGTGTTGTTAAACGGCTTGATTTGAGCCCATTTTTAAAAACGGCTAACTCAACATTATAGCCAGGAAAATATTGTCTAAGCTTCGAGATTTCACCAATATATGTTCAATCCTATGTGCCATCTATGAGCAAAATCTTTAGACTTGCATAATATTTTTCTGGATAAAATATTGAGTTAGCCGTTTTAAAAATCGGCTCAAATTGAGCCGTTTAACAACACTAGTCACACACAAAGAAATTGACATGTTCCAAATTAAGACAGATAAAGGTATTTTGAGGAGACACTTAGATCAATTAAGATTAAGAGACTGTTTTAATACACTTATTAACTATGACTCTAAGGATTCTTTCAAGGAGGGAAATGTGGACAAAAATATAAAAATTACTGATAAAAATGATATAACACCGATTTCTAGACCAATGCGAATTAAACAAATACCTGCTTATTTAAAAGACTACATAACTTAAAATATTAAAATAAATTAAATATTAAAATGCATAAAGTAAATTAAATATTAAAACGCATAAAGTAAATTAAATACTAAAACGCAAAAAATGAAAACTCTTAAAATATTATATAACAATCTTATTGATTTATCATTCTTCATTTATTCTTATATCCAACTTGATGAACTATTATTTCTTATTATTCGCAACTTACTGATGATAATAACAATTTTGAAAATTGATAATAATAACGACTGAGTACTACAAGCAAGCTATATGACAAATTCATGATTTATAAGGACAACTTACGATAAGGATAACAAGCTTACGATTTATACAAACCAACGTGCAAAATCGATTTAAACAAACCAACGATTGGGACAAGCCAGCGATTACTATGACTTATGAAACAACTTGATGGTCAAAACGTTAAAACATTTGGATAACAAACTAACTATGACAACACAATTAAACTTATGTGAAGGCTTCTTTAGAAGAAGGAGAATGTTGAATAATATAATTTTAGTTTTACAAATTGTAACCTTTATTTTAGTCGTAAAATATTATATTTTCATTTTAGTTTTATTTATTCAAATATTACTTTTGTAAAAAAGATATAAATACGTTATAAAAAAGTGTAATAAAACAGATAATAAAAAATATATTTTTACCTTTCTCTACATCGCCTTAAACTGTCATTATTTAAATGGGCAAGTATATTAATGCTTAACAAAATAAAACATAAAATGTTACGAATATGATAGACTTTCTCAATTTTAACTAATGAGCATTAAGGAACAGGTACATCATATGAAACTTAGGAGTCAGGAATCAATTTTGGGGAGGCCGCACTTACCCGTGAGCGCAATAGACAAGCAACTTACTTAGACTGTCACCAAAAGCCTGAAATTTAAAATTGTTAAAAGCCACATTTGATTCGATTTTTAAAACCGCCTTATTTAAATTTTAGCCAAAATAATATAATATAAGCCTAGATATTTCACAAAAAGTAAAATATAATTATAAAACTATTGATAACCCAATTCTAATCTTTATAACGTTGTAATCTATAAATCGAGGCTTACATAATATTATTTTGACATCAAAATCGGGCCGTTTTTAAAAATCGACCCGAATTTGGCCCTCTAACAAGACTATTGAAATTAGAGAAATGCTTTTGCCAAAATTTTCTGACTATTTATTTTGTTGATTTTAAGTTTATGTAGCGTTTTGTTGTGACAAGATTACTTGGAAATGCAATGAAAATACCAATAAGACTTATAATCTATACTTAATAATTCAATGTATATTAGATTTTCTATCGTATTTATGATACCCCCTCTCTGTGTAAATAACATAATAACTGTTGGAACATCCGACCGAGTCGTGGCGAATGGATGCATATTTAATATAAAATATTTATGATTAATGTTATAGCGGTTTAATTAAAAATATTAGAGGATTTTATATAAATGCTGAAATTAATTTCCGATAAAAACAGATTCCACAAATTTAAATATCCCCCTCTGTAAATAGGTTTAAATTGAGAGATTCAGAATCACCAAGGGAAGATCCCGTAAGTCCTCATTCGAGTAAACTTAACTTACCACGTAATATACACATAAAAATCGTTTAATATAAATTCAATAAATATTATGTATTATAGAATTCACAAATTGTTGCCTATAAAGTTCCGCAATTTGTAGCGAGGGAGGTTCCAGAAATTTTAAAAAAAGTAAGACTTAACATTCCTAAAAAACTAAAGATCGTAGAAAGATGCATTTAAAGGCAAATAACCATATCTAGCAACAAGAACATAAAAAAAAATCCAGTTGAACTTCTATAGAGGGCGCTAAACTCTTTATATTATAATAACTATAGTTTGACAGTCGCTCTATTTTTCTATTCCAAAATCGGCTAGTTATTCAACCAAACTTGAAATGATTCGATCTAAGTCGATTCTAAGGCCTGACTCAAACTAGGCGAAATAATCCCAAATTTTTGCGAGATACTTCGCTATAGACATGAATTTAATGTAAAATTTTGGCGTAAACCATAGGCGTAGTCGGGATTTTTCTAGTGGGGGGTGGGAGAGGAGTGGTGGTAAAGGGGTATTTTTTAAGCTTAAAATTATATTTACGAGAACAGAAAAATTTTCCGAAAGGGAGATTTCCCCTCATATGTTTTGTGTTTGAGTTGACAGGTAGAATCAGGTTTATTTCTTCAGGTTGCCAGGCTTAGAATTTAATAAAAAAAATCTAGTCATCAATTTTATTTTAAAAAATATTATATAATTGTTGGAATGTTTCTTTTTAATTGGTGTATAAGTTGATATAAAAATAAATATTTTGATTAATATATTCTTTTTCAAAACAAAAAAATTAACATTATTCCATTAATTATAATATATAAATAAATTGAAAAAAAAATAGAAAATAAAAAAATATATATATATATAAATTTGGTAAAAAAAAATTAATTAAATTCATTAAAACATTTAAAAAAAATACTATAATAAAAATGTAAAAGACAGAAACTAAAATTAAATGTTGTACTTTAAATTGAAACTAAAATTAAATGTTGTACTTCAAATTGTTCTAACAAAATTTCCAACATTATACTTTTGTATTCAAATTTTTTTTAAACTAATTTTCTTTTTGGTAACGTATAGTGATGCAAAATTGTTCCAATTGAGCTATTTTCAAAAACGGCAAAGAATTTTATTCAGAAAAAAATATTATGCAAGCTTGAGGATTTTTGCTCATAAATGATGCAATGGACATCTAATTAGCGAAATCTCGAGACTTAGGCTATATTTTGCTGGCTAAAATATTAAGTTAAATGTTTTTAAAAAATTGGCTCAAATGGAGCAATTTTGCATCACTGTACGCTAGAACCAAATTCGTGATTAGTCAATACACATTTTGACAATCAAATAGGATTAATATCCTATAAATTTGTCCGAAATTTATAAGATACGTATTCTAAATAAATGTGTTGGGAATAGATTTAAGGAAAAAAATTTAAATTTTTATCAAATTTATAAAAAAGTTGGTTGAATAGATTTCTTTAAAATAAACTGATTTTGGGTCAAAAATATTTTCCTGTATAATATGTAGAATATTCTATCCCATAAATTTCGGATAATTTTATCGCGAACATTATAATCGAATTGATTGGTTACATGATTGGAGTGTAAAGTATACAATATAAGAATTAATACACGAAATTTTTAAAAACAATTATATATTATTATAAAAACAGTTTTCTATAAAAAAAAATCTGGTTTGTAGCCAAGATATTTCCTATTAGGTATGGTCCCTTTCTTTAATGCTGCGTTTAAAAAGGCTTGTTAATATTCAAAGAGCACCATTTAAAAAAATTGGGCCAGGCCTTATAATATAGGGATCATCTAAATTTCAGTCCTTTCTTCGCCCATCCGTGAGCCCGCAAACTTTCTGACTAAGGTCCCAGAGCGCGTCGGAGTCTTCGTGTTTCAGAGCCTTGGCGGAGGCCTTAGCAAGCCCGCATTCCGAAAAATAAGCCCCGTTATTATCCGCGTTAGCCTGGGATTTATCGAACAAACAGTAAAGGGTAGTCATGGCTCCCTCTTTGGTAGAAACACTGAAAAATTTGGAGACAATGAACCTAATGGGCAAGGGCACGTGAATGAAAAGATCCGTATCCACCGTTCCAGGGTGGAGAGAAAAGGCTAATAACCTATCGGGGTCGGATCGTCTAGCCAATTCTCGGGTAAAACTGACGAGGCAGAGTTTGGAGTCCCCGTATACGAAATGTTGACGGAAGGGCGGGCAGAATCTGAGAAGAAAAAAAAAGAAAAGAAAGGTAGGGTTGAAAATAGGATTTAAGAACAAGATTAATATTTAAGCGCATGCGCACGTAATATCCATTCATCATCTCCCGTTGGGAAAGTTTAACCGCGCATATATTTTTTTACCCACCCAAATTCTATGCTCTTATTTAAAAAAATTGATTAAATTTAAATGTAAATGACCCGACCCGATTTGGGTAGAATTTTGAAAACGGCCAGATCAAGATATTAGGCAAAATAATATGTAGGCATCGGGATTTGGCAAACAAAGGCCCGAATCTTTCTGCCCATCCATAACCAAAATTTCCAGACTTACATAATATTATTTTGGCTAAGATCTCAATCGCGCCGTTTTTAAAAAGCGACCCAAACTACTAATCTGCACAGTGTACAAGCTTTTAAAATTATGAGAAGATACTTAATATTGGTTTGTAAGACTCATTTTATTAGCCATAAACTGCCCAACAAACAAAACTTTCAAATAGAAAAATGAATATGTAAAACCGGTGCGATGGGCCTTTTTACATATAGTATCACATCTAAAAATATTGTATTTATTCGTGAAAAATATTTTATTATAGGACATGGATTTCTTAAAACACCATTTTCGAATCTGGGAAAATAAATTGCAAAATCTGGTAAAATCTTTAAAAGAAAATGTGCTCGGATTCTTGCATCAAATCGAAAACTTTTTTTCCTAGTATACCAGAACTTTAAAAGAAGATTTTTTTTAAAAAAAAATTCCAAACCGAACCGTAAAAATGTTCAAAATCTTTTAAATATATTATTTACTATTTCATGTTTCCCAATATTTTGCATTCAAAGTTATCATTTAGATTATTTTGCTTGAATAATATGTCGTCATAAAATTTATTTTGAAAGAAAGAAAGAAAGAAAGAAAGAAAGAAAGAAAGAAAGAAAGAAAGAAAGAAAGAAAGAAAGAAAGAAAGAAAGAAAGAAAGAAAGAAAGAGAGAAATAAAGAGAGTCCAACCAACCAGTATTTTAAATCAAGAACAGAAAATGTTTTTCTTTCTTTCTCGTACTTTCTTTCTTACTTTCTTCTTTTCTTTTTTATTATTAGAACATTAAAAGAAGATTTAAAAAATATTCTAAACCGAACCGTAAAAATGTTCAAAATATTATTTTTAAAAAATATCCTTAGATTCTCAAATTTAATCTAAAACTTTTTTTTATCATTACCAGAACTTTAAAAAAAGAATTTTTTAAAAAAAATTCCAAACCGAACCATAAAAATGTGTAAAATTTATATATAAAAAATTCATACCCAATTTAAAAAACCCGAACCGGAATTGGATCGGGTTTGAAATTCTTGAAAAATTATACTTTTGAATGATTCCGAACTGATCCTTCTTCAAATAGGCCGGGTCGAGCGGCAATCGCGTAGGCCCTATAACGTGCGCCCTAGAAGATACGTTGACCACACGGGAGGGACATCCCAATGCCTTAGAGCCGGACTTGAGAGAGGGTAATAGGAGGCTGGTGAGAAGGAAAGGCGAAAAATAGTTCGTTTGAAGGGTCATCTCCAAATTGTCCTCCGTCAAAATTTCCTTCGGTAGCAGCATTACGCCGGCATTATTGACCAAGGCGTATAGATGCGTACCTTATTTTAAGAATAAAAATATTTTTTTTAAATTTTTTTTGGACATGTAAGAGCCATTAGTCGTTCAAATTTTCTTTCTTCATTTCTGTTTCTTTTTTCTTCCTTTCTTTCTTTCTTCTTCCATTCTTTTTTTCTTTTTTTCTTTCTTTCCTTCTTTATATAATAAATTAACATGTTGTTCTCCATCCTTACATTTTACTTAACTACTTAGGAAATAAAACATTTTATAAGATTGAATTCAAATTTGTATAAGGGATAGGTGGGTCAAAGTTATGCATGAGAAGGAAGGGGGGGGGTCAAAATATCCATACAATGTTTTTTTAAACAAAAAAAGGATAAGGTTTAGCAATCGGGCTAAAAATAGAACTCCCCTACTACTCTCCTTATGGAATCAAAAAATAATTTTTAAAATATATTATTATTTTAAAATGATGACAGTTAGACCATTGTAATGCTCTAGCTTCAGGGTGGATTATCGTTTTCAAATGCGTTAAACCTAAGATTTACTGGAAATTTTGATAATGACAAGTACTTATTCGAAATCGATTTCCTAAGAGGGGCCCGAACCTTCCCCAACTCCATATTACCCAGGGTTTAATGAGTTATCCTTAAATCGGTCTCTGTTTGTTCTGTGGTTTCAAAATGCCCAAGCCTTATAAATAATTTTGAATTCAATACTAAACGATGTGGTAAATTAATAAAATATTAATCAAATGAAACTCTTAATACTTTTTTTTATAGTGGCTATCATAAAATTTTAACGCAAATTGTTCGTACGGAAACAACAAAATGGTGGTCCATTGTCACGTTATAGGTATTTAATGTCATTGGGTAGGGAATGTTATTAAATAAAATAAACATCCATTTTATAATATTAAAAAAAACAGTTTTTTGATTTTATTTATTTTTATAATTTATTCAAATTATTTTGATTTTTCAAAGGTTATATAAAATGTGATTTTAATTTTTTTTTTTAAATATAAAGATAAATATATTCACGCATCATTATTTTCTTCCTTTCCTCAAGTTAATAATTATAAAATAAGTGAAAAATTTATTTTTTTAAACATTTACACGTATTATATGTAAAATAGAAAGAATTAATCATTTTGATATTAAATATAATCGCTGTGTCGTTTTCAATTATAATTCGAACATTTATTCAAATCTATTTCTAAACTTGTCTTGGGGTTTTAAAATTATGGTTCGAATTTCATACTAGTTATTATTGGTATTTCAAACCCGATAAGGATTATTTATATGGTGGTAAAACAATGTCCGAAAAAAAACCAACAAGCCCCCAGACCGATTTATATAGGTATCAGGTCCAGCCCCCACCCATCTATACGGAGTATACTTGGTCCGTTTAATGCATTTCTTAGATCGAGTTGGATGATTTTTCTTTTGAAATGGAATGGTCCTGAGACACATTTTATCTATTTTGATGGAGGAGTGAGGGGTATTTTAATTAGCTTATTTATGTATACTTGCAAATTTTGCCAAGAGAAGAAACGCCCACTTTTCCCTTCCTGTTTATGCCCGTAATAAATTATATATAAATAAATACATATTATACCAGAAGAATCAGAGGAAGTTAACAATTTTTTAATAATGTCAGCGACAAAAGTTCTAACGGATTTAAAAGAATTCAGGTCCAAGTGTTTAGCGTACACCAAGGGGTTCCCTGTTTCCTCCCTAAATTATTCATTTTTAAAAAAATTATATCATAAAATTAAATTAAAATAAATTTTTTTGAGCTAACTTAGTCGCAAGCGAAGGTCCATAGTTCGTTCTTTTGTCCAAACTGAAATTCAAAGACCGGAATATACCGCTTCTTATCCCGCACTCACAATTAGCGTAAATTGGCGGCGCCGAGATTGGGTGCTAACTATGAATGCATGGTTATACACGGTCTAATTTTTGTTTGTTTGTATCTTAAAAAAATTCTGCTATAACCTTAAGTATTATACAATGCAAAATTTTCCGCCTAAAGGCCTCGTTTATCGTAACCAGCGATAAAGTTTAAGCCATTGCGAACGAGTAAGCGATATCACAGCTGATCTATGACAGCTGGTTCGTCTCATCGGCACGGCTTCGATACCATTCTAAACGCGTGCTCATTATCTACTCGATTTTATAATTTAATTTTATAATTTAATGAGTCGCGCTGGATAATGAATTCGAGGAATTTAGTGGTTAGTTTATAAACGAGGCCCAATGCAGATAAAACCAAGCTGATTGACCTTCACTAGTTTACATTTTTACTTACAAAAAACCATCTTATAGAAGCTTTTCTTTAAAAGCAATTATGAAAAAATAACTAGCCAGATATTTATTCATATATTATACACGTGACTTCGAATTAAAATAAAAAAATGAGAAAAATTCTTAAATAATCGTCTGGGTGACAAAAAACAGGCAAATTTAATGGGGAAAAATATAAGGGAGATGGGGGGGGGGATCGATCAGACACATTTTTGGGATCGATTTAAGTGGGGACAAGATGGATAAAAAGGTAATCGCCAGAAATAGATGATCATGGTACCCGAATGTTAAAAAATATGCAGATATAAACTTAATTTCTGTCGCCACTTTGTTCCCGGTTTTAAGATTCCTGCAGGCTATAACTATCTCGGCTCCGGTTTTAGCGCACTGAAGAGCCGTTTCTTTGCCTATACCGGCATTGCCGCCCGTTATGATGATCATGCGACCGGCCCATTTGTAATTTTGAGGCTTGAATTTCCAGGAAGGGGCTGGGCTGAATCGCCAGAAGATTGGAATTTTCCCGTGAGCTAGAAAGAAATAATCAAGGAGGGTTATTAATAGGAGCGCGAAAGTTAGCAGGGAAAAGGCCCAGAGCAGTAAATCCGAGCTGAAGGTATGGGTAGTTATTACCATTGTCGTAGCGGAAAAAGGTTAGCAGTATCTACGATATTGTTTAGAAGAAAAAAAAGGAAAAATGCTCGATTAACATGATTAAGATTTAGCAAATTTATGGGTCATTTACATTAGGCAAGGATTTCCGGGTCGGACTCTACTATTCATTCATTTGAAATGCATTTTAAAGCGAATATAAATCAGCTGTTGGACAGGCCATTACCACTTCGGTTTCTCGTAGTAGGATTTTTACAAATACAGTGATGTTCAGATTTGATGGATATATATTATTTGCAAATATGATTATTTAACTTGCAGAAATTGTTAAATTACTTTCTTTATTTCTTTCTTGATGTTATATTAAGTTAAATAATTTTATTTGCAAATAAATTTATCAGGAAATGTTTTCCATTTAATTCTGCACTCTGATTTTTTTTTTTGGGGGGGGGGGGAGTTTCCGCAAGTGTAGATTATTTAAGAACCAAAAAATGGCGTGTCAGCATCTGATTTGTATCAATTGCACATTAAATGAAACGAATGGTGAATCTAAGTAGCATCATTTGTCATCGGGCGGGAATTTTTAAATAATATAATAAATAGAAAATCTGTATAATACCGATGATAAAAGGTAGCGCGGCATGTCCCGAACAGGCCTGCCAAAATATTCTAACGGGATTTTAGACCGATCTGCCTCGTATTCATTTTTATCAGGTCCAACCGGTAAAATATAATCTGTAAAAGTCCCCAGCATGGCCCATAATAATTATTCATGAAGGAAAAAAAAATAAATAACCGACAATAAAGATAAAGAAGTTAAAGGAGAGTTAAATCAAATGACGCCTGCATCAAACACAAATAATTCAAGCAAAATGTAGACCTTACAGGATACTTTTTTTAAAAACAAAAAACCTTAGAAGATCTAAATGACATGTGTCACGTTTTAACTTGGCAATAAAAAAAAAATATCAAAAAAAAGTATGGAAAGGTTTGATGACTAAACGTCTCTTGTATATTCGATTAAAAAGGGGTCGAGAAGTAACCAACGTACCCCAATTCGACAAAACAAAATTACAACATTTAGGGCTCGGGTGGATACTATAAAAATGCCGTCCATTAAAAGGTCACGCGAGCTATCCGGACACGATACCCATATGCTCTTGATAAAGAAGATCTTCGAAAAAATTACGAAGCGATTATATAAGAAAACAACGTTGCAAGATAGAGTGGTAAAGCGTAGCGAAATTTTTTTTTATAATAGTTAAAGAGATTTACATTGGTAAAATAGGATAAAAAAAAGGGGGGAAAAATAACAAATTTTATTAAGGCTTGGCTTTGTGACCTAAATATTAAATATTAAATTCGGAAACTTTCGCAACTAAAAAAAATATATAATCTATTTTTTTAATGTAAAATAAAAACATGTCATAAATATAATTCTAAGAAATTTAACATACGATTTGATTCTAATTTTAAAAAACTTTTGAAAGTTTTTTGCAAATAAACTAGATTTAGAATAATATCAAAAGTGATATTATTCTAAATGTGGAAGAAATCATGAACGAATCTGCCCGAAATGCTCTTTTTTAAAAACCTGGACATTTTTTAAAGAGACACCTATATTACAATAGGTAGATGGAATCAGTATCCATGTATTCCCGGAGGTGAGAACCGTTGTATCCGCGAACAAAAGCGATAGTGGCGCGGGGAAAATGAAATTACGAACTAGGAAATATATTTGGTTCTCGTCATTAATACCAGAAGTATACTTAATTTTGAACTGATTTAGAAAAGGAGAAATTATGCTGATACTCTATGTAAAAATGGTTTCCTCTTGGAACCAGTACTGACTAGCTTAGATATATTCATCAATTAACGAAACTCGCATAATTTATCATCATATTTTGGGGTTTTATAATCACAGTTTGAAACCGGAAGCGAAAACCGCTTTAATAAATTTCCAACGAAAGTCTAGTAATTTATATATATTGTTGTGTGATTTATTTCTAGAGTATTTCTTTATTGTTCAAATTTTTTTTATAACAAAGTTTTGGAATCAGTGTTATCTAAACCGTTCGATTTTATTTTTTTTTAAATGGCTAACTGACTCAATTTATTGGCCAAAATAATATTATACGAAATTCTGGAGATTTCGCTCATAGAATGGAGGAAGGATTTGGACATATTTTATCGAAATTTAGAAACTCTGTCAAATATTTCTTTTAAGCTAAAATAAACCATCAGAAACATAACCCACTTTTTTTAAAAAAAAATTTGGGGAAACTGAAGTTTTTAATTTACATGGACCAGTTTAAGCTGGGCCAACCAAAACCGACCTCTGCTTTGTATACATTTTAGCCTGCTGAGAGTAAATTTTTTAACCTTTACTATCTATCCCCTTTCCTCAAATAATTATTAAAGTTATCTATTTTTTAAATAAAAAGTGAACGTATGGTTATTTTACCCCAAAAAAATAATACGCAAGCTTATAGAATTTGCTATTGATGGCACAATTGTTTGGACATCTATTAGCAAAATCTTGAGGTATCTAAAATGTTAAGGGAATCTTTTTTTTTATCAATAGTCAGCGAATGGACAAATGATAAAAAAAAAACATTACCCGTGGAATTTATAAAAACAATTATATGTGTGCTAAATCATTTTGCCTAGATTTCTAAAAATTTTTAGAGAAAAAATCAAATAATATATTAGAAAAATATGATTTTTAATATGTGAATTATTTATATATAATTGCAATAAAAAAAAATGACTGCTTAAAAAGTGATTAATCCCACGAAAAAAAATATGTCTACTTTTCCAACTATGCAGGATATAAAAATTCTACCCTACCATTAATTTTACTTTTATATTACATATTTTTTAAATATAATTTAAAATTTTAGTCAATTTAAAAATAACAGGCTTTGTCTAGCCCAGAATTTTAATATATTTTTAAGCCCAATCAGCATTTATAATTTTATGCCCTAGTATGGCCTGACTTAGAATTAATTAAAATAGATAATCAAAGACATTTTTTATCTTGAATGAAGTAAAATCACTAATTACTTTGTTTTTATCACAGAGAATAATCATACTTCAATAGATAAAATATAGCAAGTGTTTTAAAATATTTTTAAAGCTCACTTTAAAAAAAAATTAGGTCCAAACTTAGCCCAACTTATTTAAATAGGCCTAAGCTTAACTTTTGGCCCATTTACAGGGATGCTTTAGTGTGAATTAAATTAAATAATTTTCTTAAATTTCCTATCCTATTTGCCAAATATTTATTTAATTCGCATTCTAATATAATATTGAAAACAATTAATTTTAAATATATAAATTATCATATTTTAAAAAGATGGTATGGTAAGCGTCCCGATGGCTCTACCATGATCCCTTGGAAGAGGGGGGATTCCTAACCTGGGATTTCTCATGCCATCGATCCCCTTGCCCCAAATATAAATAGAGATGCTCTAGTAGACGCTGAGACGAATAAACTCGCTATGTATTCGCCATTGCTTCTGGCCAATTACACATTCCTACCACTAATCGCCACGACTCTAACGTCGTTCGGCTCTCATGCCCTGGCCTTCTTTAAAGAGCTGGGGAAACGGATCTCTACTAGGACCAAAGATCCCAACAAGGGTTACTACCTACGCCAAAGATTAGCCCTCAATATAATAAAATCCAATTACCTCAGCTTCATATTCTCAATGACTGATACCCCCCTAATCACAGAATCGGCGATGAGAAGAGCAATTAAGAACAAGAGAGGAATATTCAGATGGAAGTCAACAAAAGAACCAAACCCTAATCACAGAATCGGCGATGAGAAAAGCAATTAAGAACAAGAGAGGAATATTCAGATGGAAGAAGAAAAACTGAAGGGCAAACTATGAAAACTCATAATTCTTTTAAATCATATGCTCAATTTATTATATTAATTTACTATATATTTATTTATATTATTTAAATATATTATTATTTATCCTTAAAAGATATACTAACAAATGTGATTATTTTTTAAATTGACATATTAATGAAATTTACTATTATATTGATCGTTATTATATCATACATTTTATATTAAAACATTTATATATCTTAAGTAATATAATAAAGTATAATATATTATGATTTTAAATTTAGTTAACTAATTTAAATTAAATCCTTATATATTAATTTATTAAAAAAGTATAAAATAAAATATATTTTAAACTTGAAATATGATTGTATAAACGCTGTGGAAATGGATATGCAAAAATACTATGTTGGAAAATTTTAAATTTTACATGTGGCCAAAGGATTAAGAGATATATCCGAAATGTTAAGTGATATTATGTCTTAAATATTTGACGTTGGCTCTATCATATTGTTTTTTTTATCTAAAATTTACTTTTGGGAAGGGTATTATGTCTTTTTTGAATAAATTAAAATTTTTAGTATAATAAAAGCTGGCTAAGGTGTTTTGAACCGTTTTAACAACACCAGCGTCTACATAATAGGATATTCACTAGATGCAAACCCTCTTAAAGACCTATACCAAGCCCCTTAAAAAAATTTTGTTATTTTTGGAGCGATAAACATTATTGATTACCCTTTTTAATTATAATGATACTCTCTTCTTAAATTCTAAAAAGAATAACTTAAGTTAATATTACCCTACTCTACCATTTATCAAAATATTGTGATACGTAAAAGAAAAGTGATATTTTTTAGGACATGAATTTTATTAAAAACCCTTACATTTACAATGAATACTTTATAGTATATTGTTTGGTATGACTAATTTTGCTACAGATCATATCGACAAAGTAATTTGCCTGAAAATGATGATAATATGGAATTTTCCAATCCTGCATTCGTAAATTATTTTAATCTCGATAAAAAATTTGACACAGATATTACGGGCATCCGGTCTTACCTAGCCAAACTGGCTTTTGTCTGCCTATCTAACATCATCGTAGTAGGACTTCGACCAGTTGTACTATGTTTACTTATATACGATATGTCTTAAAAATATTTTCTAAAGTATTTTTAAATTTATTCCATAATCTCGCACAACTCTTTACATTTTCTTAGGTGTGTGAATGGTAAATTGGTCATTCTTCTTATGATGATAAGATGTTGACTTAATAAGAAAAACATTTCTTAATTGTCAAAACAATTGAAATATACTTTAAATGAATTAGGAACAATTGTCGAAAACAAAATAGTCATATCCAGATGCCACCGTAAAACATAATTTAGAATCTAACTTTATAAAATCTGGGATAATGATTTATCTTGTATCACACACTTAAAGCAAGTTTTTTTAAAAACAGGACATCGATTACTTCCGTAATGATTCTATCACACCGTATATATCATTTAATTATCCCTTTTTTATTATATAAAATTTTCTTTTTCTCAAAACTATTATTAACATCTTGGTGTAATTATCATAATTCTTACTAGATTCATTATTACTGTTAACCTCTATCGTAAGTAGAATTTTGCTTTGATACTTTTATGTCTACTTACTCCTTTTCTTTATCTGAAGCAATAGCAAGATTGGGAATATATTCGAAAGAGATGGCTTACTCATCTTTGTCTACACCCTTAGGAATTTTGTGCCCGAAGACAAATCTCCCTAGAAAACCTTGTTTTTCAAGATTTACCAAAACAAGATAAATCTTTTAATTCTGTCTAAGAAAATTTTTTTTTATCAGAATAAACTTTGCCAACATTTAGAATAACGAATGTTATCAGACTTTATTTCATATTTATCGATTTTGATGACTAAAATCATTCTCAACTCGATTCGCGAAATGACCAAGAAAATGGCTTATCACCTTATCAATAATTTACTTTTATTTATATTTTAAAAATTATTAATTTCCAAATATATAAATATTATACTAGGTAAACCTGGAAATGAATCCATAACAGCAAAATCAAATCCATAAAAAAGTAGTAATAAAAGTTTTAGCAACTGACATAATTTTTTTACCCCACCCAGATATAAAAACTATTATCAGAGACCCTCAGATACATTCCCAGATATTTTCTAATAAAAATATTCACCCCTGTTTATATATATTCTTTTAAAATGACGATTTTAAAATACATGGCCCTATATAAACTAATAATTTTTTCATTAATTTCACAAAAAAGCAATATTATTTAATTTATATTAAATTTTTCAGTCAGGTAAATATACATTTCTGATAGTGAGTTTAGAAACTTGTGTTATTAGCAAGGAATATCTCTATGTTCATTATTATCATGAAAAAAAACTTTTCCAATTATTAATATTGACAATATGCTGCAGCTAGTTTCCAATTTAATCCACAAAATGTTGATAACTATATTCATCAAAAGTAGTATTTTAATATGTAAATTTCATACTTTGATTAGTGTCAAAAAGAAATTTATTATTTTGTAAATGAAAGGTATCATATTTTTATTTAAGAACATACATTTTTAGATAAATATTAGCATAAAATTTGTTTCATCATATTATAATGCCAATTATTTTACTATTAAATTTATATCAACTAAACAAATTTTAATTTAATAATTTTATTCAATTGTTTATATAATAATTGATAATATAATAGTAAATGACATATTTTTGTTTATTCCATCACAAGCAAGCACACCTAACAGCACTCCATCACATAAACTAGCATATCTAGAAAAACAATGATTATTAATTATATATTATAAGAACATTAGTTTAATCAGGACGAGAGGAAATCATACATTTTATATTCTGTTAAAAGATTTTCATCATTTTCATTTATATAAGATTTTTATTACCTCATCAATATGGTATCCGAAATTATTCTGATTTAAATATCAAGGGTGATAATCAAATTGGATGAATATAAACTCAAATATCATATCATTTTCTTATCAGCCATGGCAAATTATTGTGTTTATGGAATACCTTATTAATGAATAAAAAAATTTATTATTTTGAATTTTTATTTATTATAAGACACATTAAAATCTACACAATAATAAAATATAAATTTATTTTATCAGGATAAATTAATATTATTATAATTATTAGTAACAAAATAAATTATATAAATTTCTGTTTTATTTTACCATTGGCAGATTTCCATTCCAACAAAGCCTTACCCCGGTGATAGCTGAATGCGGGTTACAGCTCAAATAAGTACAAAATTGCATATTTAAAAAATTCAAGCCAACCTAATTTAGAAATAATAAAAATAATTTTATAAAATTTCAGTACGAGAGGAAATCATTCAAGACCTTTCAGATGAAAATACGTTTCATCAGTAAAAATTTATAAAATTTACTTTTGTCTAAAATGGTATCTCTCCACATTATTTTTGATAAAATGAAAAAAAAACACGGAAATAAATACTTTTCAACGAATGTTAGAATAATTATATCACATAAATCCTTAATACATGTTTATGCTAAACCATGACCTTTCTAGAAATATTGCAAATTGAAATAAATTTGATTCTTAAATTACAACGACTGTTTTATTTCAAAATATATTTCATTGGTCAAATATGACGACCTATTAAAATAGCTTTTGAAGGTTTGGATACCTGGAGAGAATATCTCTTAATTTTTAGAAAGATTTGGAGGCATTAGTGTCGCAAAGGAGAAGTGTAGATAGACACCTAAATTTATTTTAATTTAGAATTAAGGTAGTAAATCTCTCATTTTTATTTATTTAGAAGATTAAGGAAAATCAAGTATTAATTTCAAAGTGCTATATTACTAGAATGAGCAATTCTCAATTATTAAATCTTGTATAATATAATAACATATTCAGTTCTGTTGCATCACTAAAGGAGGAGCTAAAGTGCACATAAGCTCAAGCTCTTTGGTAAATTTGAAGAGCCCTTTTGAATAAAAAAAAATTTATACCTATATAAGTGTATTTTTTTATAAAAATTTGAACACACTGAGATTATAAAGGCCAGTAAAACCCCTGAAAATATTTAAAAGCTTATAACGTAGGATTTAAAAGATGCAAGTGAGATTGTTTCATATTCATGCTGTTAAATTTGCTATTAATTATGAAAATAATTATTTATTAAACTTTATAAATTTGTTGATATGGACTTATATAAAATAAGTTTCTCCAACACCATTTATCATAACAGACTTTTATTAATATCAAAACTGAAATTTAAATATACAATAATATAATACTACAATTACAAATATATTATTTTTCTAAAAGTATAAATGCATGTTTTCTTCAATTAATTTGGATTGAAAATACAATATCAAGTAAATTAACCTTAAATATATTAATTGAAATAACAAATAATGAAGTATTAATGATTAAATTAGATTTAAATATTAATTAGAATAATTGTAATAATAAGATATTTATTATCAAATAATGTTTATTTTGATATAACAAATATAATCTAGAATAGGTGAACATTTACTTTTATTTAACACTAAAACAATTAAAATCTTTGTTTATTATATTTATTTATTAGGATTATATTTTTGTTAGTAATTCGTATAAATTTCATGATAAAATTTATTTAATTGTAAAATAATTCGAATAAATAAAAAAATTTAAAATAAATTCCAAAAAGGTGAAGTAGAAAATTATAATAAAGGGGGCAAGAAATTATAATGACAAAAAAAAGTTGAAAAAAAATCAAATAAAGATAACGGAGAGATAAAAATGATTTAAAAATGAAAATAATTATTATAGGTAAAAAAAATGATTTAAAAAAATAAAATTAAGAATATATGACAAAAAAATCAAAGAAATTACCAAAAAAATAGCAAAAATCATTTTTAAAAAAATAGAAATAGTAATCGTCCTTTTTTGAATGGAAATTTTCTTTTTTTGATAGCTTTCAATTTTTTTTATGAAACTTTTTCTTTACAAAAAAGAATGAGAAAAAAAAATTAAAATTAGATGACAAAATAATGTCAAAAAAATGACACTTACGATGATATAAAATAAATGAAAATTTTCTTTTTTAAAAATTTTATCGACCTTTTTCTATTTTGAATTGAAACCCCTTTTAAGACTAACTTAATTTTAATATTTTGAACAAACTATTTCTTGTTCCATCGAACTTAGCCTTTTTGAATAGGATATCTCCGAACTTAATTTCGTTAAAGAGCCACTTTATTCACTCAAACTCAACCTAGTTGAATTTTTCGCGGTTTTGTTTTCTATTTCAGTTCGGGTTCAGTCTTTGATCTTCACTACCAAATAACTATATTTGATATTCTTAAATTCATTATATATTTAATGTAGGAATGTAACACTTTCGTAAATATATTTATTTAATTAGGAATATATTTATCATTCTTATAAGACCATGTTGGAAATCTCTCCAACTCTAAAACTCGTTTTCAATTAATCTATCGAATGAAGGAATTTATATAATAAAATTTAATTTAAATATTTACTTGAAGATAAATTACTAAATAAAATATTTATTATCTTTCTTTCCTCCGAGTCATTCAATGTAAATTATACTTACTAGATTCTTTAAAAAAAATTCGAACCTCATCGCCTAGAACGGGTTTGGTTTGTCTAGAACAAACCTCATTATAAAAAAAATTTTCATGAAACTTGCCCAGACCTTTGTGAAATAAACCATTTAATTATAAATAATAATTATTTTTTGTATAAAAAATTAACCATTTCTAACAAATCATCAACTCGAATGATTCATGAATATTACCAATTCATCCGGTATAATAGTTTAAAATTTTTTTTTCTTCTGCTCGTATAATGGTCCTCCAGGAAACTTTTAGAACATTTATCAATCAAGTAGCATTTATATATTTTTTAATCCACCCCAAAAATCAAAAAAAAATATGTAAGAAAATAAATACTAAATATTTTCCACCTGCCAAATTGGCCTCAAAGCTGTCGTTTACTTCTATAATATTCAAGGTGTGGGTCATATAATTTACTTAAATTTATTTTAATATTTCTTAAATATTTTTTTAAAATCTCGTTTTTATTTGAAAAATTATTTTGTCAAATTAAAGGCAAAATGCTGATAATTTATAATGTAATTAGAGACCTACAGAGGTGCCATTTGCACAGCTCGGCCCGGTTTTTTTGACTCGGCCCGGGTTGTGTAATTTCCGTACCGGCCCGGATTTAAAAAACAAACTTTTTTTTTAAAAAATATATTATATTTATTTTTAATTTTTATAGCTAATATTTGGCGATTTAAAATATTATGGTTTTAAAATATACGGCTCGGCCCGGGTAATTTTTTTAAAGAAAGTTTTCATGCCTGGCCCAGGTATTTGTGGGTCTCATATATATATAAAAATTTTTAAATATCGACACATTAATTTTAAATATCATTATGTCTCCGGATATATCATTAATTTATTACAAAAATAATGAATTATTATATGAATTAAATTACCCACTTACCTATAATAATCAATTTAGTTTGACTCTAGAAGGATGATATAATACGATTACACATGTTCGGTATATAAGAATGAGAAAACATTAATCGTTTCAGGGGTTCCTATAATTCCGGTTTCAATTGCTTTTCCAATTAAATTTATTATTTCGTTTTCGAATATTTATTTTTTCTTAATTGTTTCTTGAAATTAAACGAAAAAACAAATGTTCTAGAACAATTCAGTTATACCAGTGTAAGATTTATATGGGTAGGGAAGGATGAGAAGCACATGCATGTGTAATCTTAAATAAGAAATTTAAAAAGTATCGTATAATAATATTACAAAAGATTCACTTATAAAATATATTGGAAAACATCTGTTCTACAAAATGGCGAAATTTTTTTTTATAGTTTCCTCATACATCGTGTTATTCTTGTAAACCTTAAATCATTTTTTAAGCGTGTTTTTTTTTAAAAAAATTTTTTTTTAATCTGATTTTAACCGATGAATTCTAGCATGTTTAGAAAAAATTCACTCCAAAAATGAAGGGTAAAATTCTGTGAATATTTATTTATAGGACTATTCTAAACATGCAGGAATGTATTTCCGGTTAAAATCAGATTTTTTAATTAAAAAAAATAAGCATAAAAAAATGACGAAAAAACATTGGCCAATATTAAGAACATGTAAATTTATAAATATAAACCCGGCATATGAACGAATAGAAGAGGGTGAAGACCCGTCAGAAGGGGGTACGAGGCGATATAAACAATGAGAAGGGCTAAATGATGGGGTCACCGTTGCCCTCTGCAACTATATTAGTAAAAAAATCCCTCCCCTCTCATTATCCATTATTGTGGATCCTAGTGTTGTTAAACGGTATTTTTAAAAAAACGTCTAATAATGCGCACAAATTGAGCGTTTACGTTTTGCCGTAATTTTTAAATAAAAAAACCGTCGATTCAAAATTTGAAATAAGTTCTAAAAAAAAAGAAGGATTTGTCTTTGAAAATTATATTATCGTCTGCGTTCTTATTTCTTTAATTTCTATTCTAAATATTTCTTTGGATTATAAGCAAGTTATATTACATTTTTATATATAGTATTACAAAGCGAAGAATAAAAAAAAATGTAATGAAAAAGCAAACCTATTTGCGTTTTGTTCGCACTATAACTCAATATTTTTTAGCCAGAAAAATATTGACTGAAGCCTCGATGTTTCGCTGATAGATGTCCAAATCTTTGCGCCATGTAAGAGGCAAAATTTTCATGCTTCCGTAATGTTTTTCCCGATAAAATATTGAGTTAGCCGTTTTAAAAAAACCGGCCTCAAATCCAGTCATCTTAACAAAAGTGGTTGATCGAACATGACCGCAGTACTCATTTGGGGAGGGGGAGGGGGGGGGTAAGGGGAGTGCAAGATAATTTTTTTTTTATTAGCTCAAAAGGATCTTTATGAAAAATGAATTTTTTATGTAGAGAGGGGGGGGGGTGGAGTGGGAATATCATCTACACCCCTGATTACTTTAAATGTGCTAATTTTTCTCAGTCTTAATTTTCACGATTATATTGTTCGAATATAATATGTTGAAGTATTATACTATATACATTTTCAACCATCCGCCTTCTTTAACCTCGAAGACGTGGAGTGATGAGAATCAATTATTCTCCTTATTTAGTTTTCATTAAATATTCATATGGACATAATATTAGAAGGATTTATATTAGAATGATATTTTTACAAGACACTAGTATTAATTAGGGATTTTTTTTTAAAAAACTGTTTTTTTTTTGTTGGAAAAAAAACAAACATCGTTTATTAAAAAAAAAAATTTATCGTTGCAATATTAAATATAAGCCTTCATTCTTTGCTATCGCTGTCGCTATCAATTAAAAATACCCATATTAGAGCATTTACACTACAAACAAGACTTGAGTTGTCTTATTTTATTTCACGAATTTATAAAAAGGCATTTTTTTTTAAAAAA